GCCAGCTAAGTCCCTTCCAACCTGGATCATTCAATAATTCTATGATATTTTTGTTGTACAACTAAAAAATTCCTCAGCCTCTTCTAAATAAACCTTTGTTTATATTTAGAGAGAAATCCAGATTTCCTTTGACTGGGTTCAAAAGAAAACAGATGTTAATGGCATCAAAATTCTGGGGGGAGTAGAGGAATAACATAAGAACATTTTTGACCCTTTTTACTGCAGGTTGTCAAGTTAAAGCCAGAAATTTTTAAACATTCACTCTCAGATGCAATATGTCATTTTAAAGAAGGGAAAAATACCTACTAGAGATATCTATACCTGTAATGTGGCTTCTATTAGAAATTATGCTAGTTTAGCATACTCTAAGTGTATAGGTAGTGTCTTTGCTCAAGTTTACGTACTATTTTACTCTAAGTACTGTTTATGCTACCTTAAATACTTTTTGCAAACCAGGATCATTAACTCCCTGTTTGCCATATCACTAGTAGCTTATCACACTAAAAAACCCTCACACTACTTAACATGCATTTTGCAGCTTTGCATATTTATTAGCTTTCTATACTTAAGCATATTTTTATCTTTTCATTTTTCAGTCATGATTTCTAAATATTAATAATGTAATGTAACTGCAGTATAGAAAGTCTGATTAGGTCACTTTATTGTTGCTCTTCCAGAAGTCTTAAATTCTATTGCAGCAACAGGTAGAAGAAATATTATTGCATAAAAAGCCCTCAAAAACCAATCAACCAGCATGAAGTCCATCCAGTTATACACCCATGTCAAAGCAAGAACTCCCTCCCACTGTAGCCTCATGACCTGCTGCCTTCCCTTTTTGAGCTCAAGAAATTAATGCAGACACATCCCATCTTCATCTCTCTTTCTTCATGTCTGAAATAAATATTTATAAATGGCATCATGATTCACACTAGAAATTATAGAGTTGGGCAAAGAGTAATATTCATGTATTGGACAGGCTCAAGAACTGCTGTCTGATGAAAGACTAAAAGAAGTAGAGAGATGCTTTGCTTGCCTGTGTAATACTTAATACAAATTATGAGAGCAATCTCCAAGTTCCTCAAGGGTACAAACAAAAGAGGAGTAATTACTGAGGTGAACATGGGGAACATGTGAAAATAAGAGATAAAAAGAGAATATTTGTAATAAATATATGGAAAACTTCAAGACAGAAAGATGTATCAGTCCACAGAACAATTCTATCTGCTAATTTCTCCATTGCTTGTAAAGCAATCACTCTTTTAAATTATTTATTTATTTATTTATTTAGCTAAAGAAGAGAAAGTTCCATATCAGGAAGACACCAGCATGGATAAGAGGTGGCCTGAATGATGCAAGTCATCTTTTTCCAAGTCTAACCTCTCATAGTATGAGTCATGTTACACCCAAGCCACAGGGTGACATACATAACATGAAGACATACACAAATGTGACATTCCCATTTGGCAATAACAGTTAAATCAATTAGTGCTGCAGATAAGAAAATACCACTGAATAACATATTTGAAATCAAGCAGTGTCCTCTTAGGTTGCTGGCTTCAGCGGGAAAGAACTGAAATCATCTTTCTCTTACATTCCAGCTTGTATCTCTACAACTCTGCAAATATTAGCAGAACTGATAAAGAACTCTTCCCATCAACTAGATTTGTACCACAGCCATATGACCAGATGAGTAACAATTCAATCTGATAAGTATGTAACTGAAGTACCTACAAGGAAAACCAAATTTAACTCTGCTTCTGCAAACGTAAAAATCTATTTTGGAAGTTATTCTGTAGTGTGGTCCATAAATAGTAACTGTAAAATGCACGGAAGTAGAAAGCGTGTATCAAAAGCATTTTATTTGACCCTGTTCTACCAAAAATATCCTTACTTCCTGTGCTCAGTTTAATCCATCACAATCTACAACCATCTTAGCTACATTATCCAATACTTATCCTACATATTTGTGTGAGTTCATGTAGTGGGAACATTAGGAAGAAAGGATTTATTAACAGCCTCTCAACCGACATTTCCAGGGATTACGGTTCTTCAGTCCCCTAGTAGTGCTAACCTTACATTTTTCTCTTCTTTCCTCAGTTTAAAAGTTTAATCACAAGAATGTTAACATTAGGAAAACAGCTTATTTTTAAAAACACAGAATCTCTTGCCTAGCAGCCAGGACCTGCTTGATTTGAGTTTCCCTGTAACCAGTGTCTCTGCCTGGTGCTACTTCAGTGTTTAAATACATAGCAAAAAAAAAAAAAAAAAAATGCAAAGGTTTTATCAAAGATCTTTATAGAGACTAGAAAAATAAATGTCCTAATTCTTAGGAAAGCACACCACTGTGCCTCTGGAAAGGTAAAATTTGTGAGGTGGTTCTTTAATCAGTGACCTGAATTGCCAGACAGGAAAATTTGAAACAACCTAAAAGAATCTGTTATAAATAGGTACAAATGTTCAAAAGCTACAGATTACCACAGTTACATGAGGATGCTACAGTATTCACAAATATTGTGGTCCACTTAAGCACACTTCTCAAACTATTTACAACAATTTCTGATAATTTATATCCTAATTAAATTATCAAAACTGAACTCACACCTGTAAATTTTTACTTACCAGGAGTTAATGTAAGATGCTAGACATTGCCCTCTGATATAATACTGAAATATTGCCCTCTCTACACTTTGGGTACATAAATGACCAAACCTCCACCCCATGAATTTGAATTGAAAATATTCTGCAATTTTCACACATTTTCTGCTACAAACTAGACTTCATTCATCTGAAGAGCAAAAAAACAAAATACTTATCAGAGATTTTTTAGAACTTCACACAGACTCCTTTTTCTTCCTTCCATTTTAGCAGTAAAACATTTCCCAGTTGAACTGATCACTAACCTCTTTTGGGCTTCACCTCAGCAGGCTGCAAGCACTAGGGAAGTGTAGCTATCTTCATGTAGATGCAGCTGACTCACATTTAAAGATACCATGAGACACATGTTATTGCAGCCCAAATCAGCCTTATGTTTATCTTTTCTTCTTTCTTCCTATACAGGCGTTCATTTTGTAGGTTCAGCTCTTCAATGTCTCTGAGAAGTTTATTTAGGTTGCAGATTAACTGTGCTGTACAGTGCACTCCAGTACCGTTATGGCTATGTGTGCATACATATGTGTATGAGTAGAGGGAGTGGGACAGGGAAGAAGAGTGCATAATGGACTCAGTTAACCTAGATAACAGAGAAGCAACTCTATATTCTCCTCCAGCTTGTGTCAGAGTCCTAGAGACAAAAATGAAGCTTGTACAGATTTAATCTGTGGACTAAAACTTTATATATAGTATTCACACATACTGCTGGGCAGTATGTTCAAGCCAAGAGAGACATGTTGAACACAAAGCAAACCTATTTATATACCTATTCTAAGATTATTTCAGCTTTAGCTTATTCATCAACTTATGGCATATCTCAGAAATCTTCAACCCTTTATTCCTTTTTAACTGTCTGATCTCATGGCTGACCTATCTTGCACCAGGAGGTTGGACAAGAGAAGGACTAGAGAGCACTTGAAGGCCCTTCAAGCCTGAATCTTTCTTTAATCCTATGATTCCAAAAGGAATGGCATCTATATCACCTGATGTTCACCTACCTCTCCTACAAATTCTGAAAACTCTGTATATGTTCAGTCTGTGAAAGGTTAATCATTTGAATTTAAAAGATAACAAAAACTCCTCTCTACCAGTGGAGCCTACCAAAGTGTCTCCACTTTGGGGTCTACAAAACTGAACACAAATTTGAAATACCATTTCCTTTTTCAAATCAGCACCAATACTTAAGTCTTAGAGCATCATGATAAAGAAATCTGATTATTTCTTTTACCTACTCATGGTAATTTCCATAAACTGGTCTCAGGCTGAAAAGCTTGATATCTATCACTGTTCTGCTTGTATCTATTAGAACAAGTAACACATTCCAGCTAATAGTTCTAGCTAACAATGCCATGTGTAACTAATTATTATCATTTATTTTAAACACCCATCACACCAGCATTGGGTGTGCTGTCTGCAGAGAGGTTTAGACCATAATCCTTCCTGCCAGGTGCAGAGCAGTTAGTTATTTCACCATCACTACTGTTTTCACGCTGAAGTTCAAACTGCAGCTTGTTATTCTTACACAAGTCACCTCTTTGAAAAAGCCTCAGTTCCTCACCAGGAAAAACACAGTTTCAAAGTCTACTGAGATACTGATATCTCCCATGTTGAGCCTTTCCCTGGAGTCTTGCTGCACAAATTAGGACTGCCATAGTACTGTTGCCTTTAAGCCTTGGCTGGCAGACCAGAGACAGCATTTCCCCTTCAGCTGGGATGAAATAGCTCTTTTTTTCAAGACTGAAATAGGATTTCAGTTAAGGAAAGCTCATAAAGATTTTTGTAGCATGGATTGCACTTACCTCCTGGACAATGCCTCAGGACCATTTTACACCGCCTGGACTCTGCAATGGTTGGGCATGGTATTGTGTCTTTTGCTGGCTTCTTCACAATTTGTCTTGTTCTTGTTTCCAGGCCCCACTTAAAACCACATGTTTTGTTATTTCTGCTGCAGGTGCCCCACTCACTCCACTGGCCCACTTCACAGCCTTCTGATAAAGCAAAAGAAAAAGCAAGTGAGCAATTCTTCAAGTTTTGGTTTTGTGGTTTGTTTTTTTCCTGTTGGGTTTTATTATAATTATTATTAAAGTACTGTATTAGAAACCACTACTTGAAAGTTCTACTGTTAACAGGCAAAAAATTAGAAAATTAAAGTCTCTTAAAAACATGAATCTTTCTGGACAGCATCAACCTGAGCAAAACCATCAGACTATCAATCTGATGTCTACAGATCAAGTCAGTCCCAAATGTTCAAAAAAACTCCTAAAATCATGAGGTTGATTTAATTTTTTCCTCTTTTAAATAAATAAATCCTATCTGGTTGTCACTTGGAATTGCAGAGCTCTAGAGTTCACATTTCCAGGTCTTCTCCATCATGAGATGCAAAGAAAACTCTTGAGAGTCTGTTCTGACAATTCCCAGGCTCCAAGATAAAACACAAAATTGAGAGACGTGAGAAATATTGTGAGAACTGTCAATGCTGGCTTAGAGTTTTAAAGTAGATTTCCACTAAACACATGTATTTGGTAGTTTATACTTGTTATTTGCTAACGGAAAAGGGGAGAGCTGCAGAGAAACTAAACATGAATTTGAAGCCTAGATACTACAGGATTTCAATCTGCCCTGCCCTTGAGTTCTGGCCTTGGTAAAAGACAAAATAAGCAGGTAGTTCTATGAGGGCAAGAATCCAATTAGTACATCACTGATGTAAAGTTCTAATGCAAAAACTGGCCTTCCTGAAATCTTACAAATTCTGTTTATAAATCCTCATACAAGGTAATTTGGTCATTTAAAAGACAGAACTTTCTGATGCAGAAAAGTGTCATTGCCAATAATAGAATGCTTGGAAAACAGTATTATAATAATAATTACTATTAGGGGTAAAGAAATCCGGACACAATTCATTAGTGAATATTTCTTGATAGGAAATATTAAGCATCAGCTTAAAAATAGTGCCATATTTGAACCTGGCCAGCTGGCAAAAGAGCTGCTTCAGCAGCATTGGTGTGCTAGAAGACTCACCCACACATTCCATGAGCTCTTCCAAGGCTGCAAATCCAGGGGGGCATCCTCGGAAGCAACGGCCTCTGTGCGAGTAAAAGCCAGCTTTGCATTTGGTACAAAAGTCTCTGCTAAAGCAGGAGTCGCAGTTTTCTATTCTGCATCCTGAATCAAAAGGATCACAAGGAACAATGAGACAGCTAAGTTGGGCAAGAATAAAAGTGAAAGGACTTACAAAGCAATCAAATAGTAAAACCAGAAGTGCTGTAATGAGGAATACTGTCATCCTGAAATCTGTCTTCTCTGTAAATTACAGTTAAAAGTAACTATTTGCCTATATAATTTTAAACCTGTTTGTTTGTTTAATCAAAATTGTAAATAAAATCTCTGGTTAACTGGTATTTTACTTAATTACATCTTTTTTGGAGGAAAAACATTCAATGTAAATTATTTTTATGTTTAAGTAACCTTGAGGAAACTAAGATGCCGCAAACTACACCAAGTATGCACGTGTTAGATGTACTGCCTTCAGTTCATTATTTGTCATTGAAAGCAGGATACCTTTTTTTCCATAAATTGACCCTGTAAATAGCTGAATGAATGCTTACACATGCTATATCTGATGTCCATATCTACAAAAAAAAAAAAGCTATAGCTCCTATTATCAAGACAGTTAATCCATATAAAATAACCACTATTAAATTACTAAAAGGCATAAATCTATAACCAACAGAAAAAAATAAAACTAGTGCTTTTTTAAATACTGTTTTTCTCTGAAAATTTAAGACAAGTATCATCCACAATAGATGACAGACTCCGAAGCAGACTGTTCAAAACCAACCTAATTCCATACTAAAACATGGCAACTTGGAAACGAACTCAACAGTCATGGGCACTCGAAAAGCAGAAATACTTACAGGAAGGGTTATGAAAGTCAGTCATACACACCTACAAAAAAAAATGCTAAGGAAAACATTCCAAATATTAAAAAGTAAAAGCCATTCTATTTGGAACAGTAAACACTTTAAAATTAATTTTTAACAAAATCTAATCCTTCAGCTAATGTGCTTAATTATATAAACTACATTAACTGTATCCTCTCTTACACTATCTGAAGTCACAGCAGAAATTATTTGTTATTCATGTCATGCAAAAATACACTGATCTTTTTGGTCACTTATGTCATTCATTTATTCTTCATTCTTTTCTAAAGAAAAAAAATAAATCACAAGCCATAAAGGAAATAGCTATTGGTATATATCCCCTAACAATACTTCAAATTTTGCCAATCCTTATAAAACAGATTTTAATATTCATTCTTGAACTTGAGCTGGACAAAATAGGACATATCATAAACTAGGTGGTGGTGGAAAATTCTTTGTTAGCAATTAGGGAAATATGAGGCTTTTTAGATCCAATTTCTTGTGGCATTGGACAATAAATTGGCAGATTGCATGAAAAGAGAAGGAAAAAAAAATCAAATGCTAGTACACCTCTCTTTGGATAGGAGGCATGGGAACATCAGTTTGAAGTCTTGCACTGCAGGCTCTCTTTGGACACAGCCACACATAACCTGCATGCTAACAAGTCGTGGGTCCAGCATTTCTCAAAGGGGCTTTAGAACTCATGTTCTTATAAGCAGCACAAATTGGGCTTCTTATCCACAGTTCAGCTTATAGGAAATTCCCAAGAACAATAATTTCTTTTTCACAAGATTTGAACCCATCTCCAAAGAACAGGAGATCAATGCCCATAAAATGACCCAGCAAAATCAATTCCCTCATGTGTCTGCAAGGCAGAAGAACAATAAGGGGAACTGCTCTGGAGATGTAGAGATGTGGAGATGTCTGTTGCAAACCTGGTTGGTTACACTTAAGATGTACTGCAAGTATTTTATTAATTGCAGTGTTTGAATCAAAAATCCAGTGTGTTTAAATGTCCAGAAAAAACATTTGTCTCTTGCCCACCCACAAAACACAGTTTGAAAAGACATCAAGGTTTTTCCAAATCATGTAGTCTAATAATGAGGTGCAGAACAGAGAATGAAAAGAAAAAGTAGCACCATGTGACCCTCCCTCACATCTAAGTTATGCAAGTATATTTTGGAAATAATGTTTTAACTATTAAGTTTCAAAACATGTTGGGGAGTGACATGTTTGAAGCTTACTCCATTTGAACTTTGAGTAGAAGAAGAATTAAATGAAAAACTTCCAGTACCAGTTGCCTTTTGATGACACAAACATGCTTAGCAAGCAAAAGGCTGCCTCACCTCATGCTGGGGATACCCTGCCACAAAACTATCACTATTTAACAGTACATACATGAATACCCCGTATTTAAACATTAAACAAATGAATGAGTCTTCTTTCAGTTTCTTGATCATACTTCAAAATCACCACACTTATTTATATTTCTTGCTTTGCTTTCTATACCAATTTTCGTCTGTATCACAGTAGAGTCCTTGTCATGACAGTCATATTTTGGAGGCATTAGTAGGGGCTTCTGGGTGAAGTTTATATTTATTTTTTTCCTATGAAGATAAATTATTCCAAACATGAAATGCCTATTATTTCCCCTGAATTGCATCTGATGTAGATTAAAATACTGAAAGAATATTAGCAATGCTTTAAGAATTCTGAAACTAAAAGATTAATTCACTAGAGTGATATTCAGCACTATACTTGGGGTTACCGGGTCCTAATAGCAATGATAATTTAACTAAGTAATAGACCGCCCTGTAGCTGAAGATCAACTGAGAGTAACAACTCCTTTTTGGCATCTGCCACACATTGTTTCAACCCATGAAGGTGCTGGTGCTCCTAAGCCCTGCATGGATTTTTTAATTAAACTTAAGCTAACTAAATTAAAGATCTAAAGAACAGCAGTACTCCAAAAGTTAGAACAGCTAACTTTCTAGAAGTTTAGTTTCAATCACAAACTGTCACATCGGTGGTTATAAAGAAAATAGTATATTACTTTTGGTGTCTAGCTTCATCTTACTACACTGTTTAACTGCTTTTGGGCAATTTTTTTTTTTCTTTTCTTTCTGTTTTTTTTGTTTAATAAAAGTGTTGAATTATTTTACCTGTGACTAAGGTTAGCAAATTAGAATAAATGAATTCTTTAAATTCTTTGCTTTTACAATTAAATACACTAACATGGAGAGAGAAGAAAAGCATACATATTTCAGTTTTTCTCCTAAAGAAAGTTGATACTTCACTGTGACTATTAAGACCTGTTGGTTTAGAAATAACTGCTGAATTTTCTCTTAATGGAAGTACCTTACAGATTCCTAAAATTCTTTGCATTCAATTATTTAAATAATAAATTGGATAAGAAATTAATAATCTAGTATGAAATCTACAAAACAGCTGTTTGACATAATATTAAATAATTAAGAAAACCAGCATTTAAAAAAAAAAAAAAGTTTTATCCTTAACACATAAAATCCAAGGAAATATTGCTTAGATGACCTGAATTGCTCTCTTCTGATTGCCACAGTTTTAAACTCTTTGAACTTTCTGATCTCAGCATCTTATACCTGGAACTCTGGAAAAGGAAAGTAAAACATTTTCTACTTTTAAAAATCCCTATATAAATTCTTTTAAATTCCATTTGAATTAACTAGTTAGCTTACTGATATAATAAACTGGAACAAGACAGGTTCTTTTTTCATCTGGAGAAGGTTCTTGTCAAAAGCAATTTTATTGCTTCAATTTACTAGCCACAGATCCAATTGCTTTTCTCACCAGTTCAGTGGTTTCATTTTCTGTATAATTTCGGTTGCTAAACCATATGACTAGTACATTCTTTTTATTCCACTTAAGATTACCTAGCAGTTTACAACACCAAAAAAAAAAAAAAAAAAACCCAAAGGAAACAAGACCAAAAAAATTGAGCTAAACATAGCCAGGATTTTTACCCAAGGGACTTTTTAGAGGATAATAGATAATGCATAACTGACAGTATACTTCATAAATGCATCCTCCCCACACCCCCTTTAAAAATAAACAGAAAATAGTGCCCACTAGAGGTTTTCAGATAGACAAGGGTAACTGCCTGGGAAATTTTAGAAGCAGTAAGGTGGAAGCTCTAAGGGCACAGAGAAAGATAAGATTGGTGTTGAGGGAAGAAAAAGTTGATAAATTTATTTCTACAAAAGAACCCCAAAGAACAATCACATGCCTTTGGCAGGTCTATCATACTTGCAGGGCAACAATGACAGAGGTGGAAACCTAATATCCAGAATCTGAAGACTGAAGAAGTAAAGGGTGCTTCACTGTTGTTGTTCCCACTTAGCTGCCAACAACGAGGTCTGTAGGTTGTGGCAGACACTTGAGTCCCCAGCTCTGTCTTCCCTCATATTCAATTTCCAGTGTCTCATCAAGGGTCTGCTTCCTATTAGACCCCAAATCCCCATGTTCTTTCCAGTGGTTCTATACTGGGAAAGTCAGAACGTCCACCCTTCCACTTGAAAGGTATACAACACCCTTGAAAGCCACCTCTTATGAAGGCCACATCTTCCTCTGGTTCCATCCTCACATAACTGGACTTCAAAAAGCACTCAGGGAGGCCCAAAGAAATCTGCTGGTATATCTGATTAGCACAGCCCATTTCTGAACAGATTACATTTTTTAAAATGTTACACCATACTTCCCACAAAAGTTGTATGTAAATGCTAAAAACACAACATTCTAATCTCACTGAAAACCATGGCAAAAGTCCCAATTGCTCCAGAGAGGACAGTTTTAAACTAATAACTTTCTTATACCAGAGCCTGCAACAATTTGAATGGGCAAAATCAATATCAAAAACCCCAAAGATATGTAATTTTTCATGATAAATACACATTTATAAAGTGAAAACCAAGCAATTAAGAAAAGCAGTACTCCAAAAGCTAAATTTCTAGAAGTCTATTTTCAATTACAACCTGTCACAGGAGTAGTTATTAATGCACAACTCCATGATTTCACCTCTCAGGCAAAAAGGTAGAAGAGAAGTCACTTATGAAGGTAAACTGGGCTGAAATTAGACAGAAATGTTCTGCCCAAGTGTCTCCAGTGCTCAGACAAAACAAAGCAAAACAAAAACTTATCCTGTCCATGGAGCTCTGAAATATTGATTTATGGGACAAGATAAATAATTTCTCCAAGGGAAACTCTACT